CCCCAAATACCACATTCATCACCTGGCCCCCCCAAAAACCAGCTCAAAACCCAACACATCCCAGGTGCCACCATGCACGACGGCGGCGGATCTGTGGGAGGCAGCCGGTGGCACCCCGACGCCTGGCTCCCACTGCTCCCCGGGGGGCTGCGGGGGAACCCTCATCCATCACAGCTCCAGGGGTCTCCCCAGCTGGGGAGGGGGGGCAGGCAGCCCCTATGGCCAGGCGGGGTGGGAGAAGGTGATGTTGTAGAGGCCGGCCCAGCTGGCGAAGACCCGCTTCTCGGTGATGAAGCGGTGGTGGTTGCCCTTGCGGCTCCGCTCGTTGTGGATGTAGGTTGTGCACTCGTCGGGGCCCTTTGGCTCGTAGTAGTGGTAGGGCAGGCGGCGGGGTGGGGGCCGGCGGCTGCAGATGGGTGGAAAGCATGGGGTGAGCCCCATGGTGAGGCCAGGGAGACGGTGGGGGCTCAGGGGGGTCTCCTTACCCGCAGTAGTTGGGTGGCACCATGCCGTAGACGTGGACGGCGTCACACAACTCCACCGCGATCACCATGGTGAACCAGCCGGTGCTGAGCCATGAGCGCGACTTCTCCCTGCGGAGGAAAAATGGGGTGGGGAGGGAGGTGATGTGGATGATGGACCCCACCCCCCCAGGGTCCCCTAGAAACCCCAGCCTGGTGCTGCAGCCCACCCCCATGGAGCAAGCCAGAAGGGACCTGGAAAAAAAGGTGGGCACAGTGCAGGAGGTGGCTCTGGGGTACCTGTCCTTCCCCGTCTCCCCCCGAAACAGGTCATCGAACTGCTTCATGCGGCTGGGGGAGACGACGTAGGCCGTCATGTTGGGGAAGGAGGCGCTGACACGCTGGATGATTTTCAGGAGGCTCTTCTGCATCTTGGCGGGTGGCCCCCAGAAGATGAAGATGGTCTCCGGGGTCTTGTTGACGAACTCCTGGGGCCGCTTGAGGACACGGTAGAGGCTGGAGTGGGCCACCACACGGAAGCTGGTCTTATTGCCCACGTCGACCTCATAGCCGGTGGTGGGAGCATCGTTCATGCGGATGGTGCACTCGGCCCCGTCGATGGCCGTGCCCAGGCGGGTGCCCAGGAGGTGGCTGGAGCTGGTGACGATGACGCACTGGTGGCAGCGGGCAGTCAGGGTCTGGGGACCACAAGCACCGTGAGGAAGTGACTTCTGGTGTCACCGCGACCCAGCAGGGAGGGATGGAGCTGGGACAGGGGACACGGCACCCCCACAATTCGGCCGGATGTCGGTGGAGGGCTGGATCCTGCGCCCACCGCTGAGGCCAGACCCTGCCAATTCGCTCGTACCTTGTTCCCACAGACGGGCAGGTACCCGCTTTTCACCCCCCACTTCTTGAGGTCGGGGGGCCGGCGGGTTCTGCCCCGCAGGCGGCTGTAGGGGAAGACCTCGCTCCCGCTGCCGGAGCTGTAGATGATCAGCAACATGATCAGGGCAAAAAGGACCCCCAAGGCGGCGGCGCGCTGGCTCTGTGGGCGGGGGGAGAGCGTCACCCGCTGCCCCCACCCCATGGGCGTCAGCATCCGGCCCCGCTCCCGGCGGCCTCTCCAGCGGGATGCCCGGTGTCCCCGGGGAGACGCCTGCTGTCCCCAGGATGATGCCCCGGCAACTCACCGTGCTGCCAGTCATGTCTCTGCGCCGGCCTCAGCGCGCAGCGATCGCCGGCGTCCCGTGAGCACCTGCAAGGCCCGTGGTCACCCCCGGCACTGGCCCCTCGCCACCGCGCTCGGGCTCCTGTCCCCAGGCTGGCAGGGACAGAGGCTCAGCTGTGCCAGAGCAGAGTCCCACGGGACGGGCGCCCTGCCAGACCCCTGGGTCCCTCTTTCGCGGGGAGGACAAACCCCCGGCACCGGTGTAGGGAAGGGAAATGCCGTGGGCAGAGGCTGGGCAGGTTCTGGGGTGTGGAGGAGCCAAACTCAGCCACAGCTCGTGCCGGGGAGATCCCTGCGGCGGGCTGGGCTCCGGGAAAGGATTATCCCCCACCGGTGGGGCCAAAGCCGCTCAAACCCGCAGGGTCAGGGAGGGTAAACCTGCCGCTTGCATGGTGAAATCCCATTAAAACAACTGGTTGGACTGGGGGGAGAGGAACTGAGACCTGCCCAACTCAGCTCATACACGGGCTGAAATCCAGCTGGAGCTGGCAGGGAGCTCTCCAGCCCCAGGGCCCGAGGCCGTGGGGTGCACCCCGGGTGTTCACCCCTGGGGGTACCTGCTCCAACCCCCACTCGCCCAGGATCGAAGAAATGGACTGACCCAATTTAAAGTCCTCTCATTTGTGAGTCATGGCTGCGCCTGGAGTACTCGGAGCAATTAGAAATTAAAAAAAAAGAATTCAAGCCTCTTGACTAATTGTCCTCGGGGGAACAGGGATGGAAAATTATGCAGCAGCCTGGGTTCAACCCTTGGGGGGGACCAGGGACCTGGAAGGGGTGTCAGGGCCAACGTTGATACCCGGGAAGGTGCCAGACTGCCCAGGGAGCCCAGGCGATGGCCTGGCGTGTTGGTGTAAAGGGCCCCCCCCGTGCGCAGCCTGGGGAGCAGAGCCGGGGCCCCCCGAGGAGCAGAGCCAGGGTCCCCGCTCCTGCGGCTGTGCCCCGCTTTGCCCCTTCCACAGCGCCGAGGCCGTGGCTGAGCCCACAGCGGGGACCCCGGGGCCTTACCTGGTGGGGGCTCTCATCTGCAGCGGGCGGCGAGCGGCGCGGGGGGGCCCCTCATCTCCTCCTCCGCCCCGTGCGCCCC